GAGGTAGTTGGATGGAATAAAGTTGGGGTACTGAGTTAACGGCAGGGCGAAAATAAGGGACTTGGAGGTAAGGAGTGAGTGACCCGTTTGGGTTTAACGTCGTTTTGAAAAGTATTCCAGTTATATCCAGAATTATGAGAGGGGAAGGGACCAAAAGAGTAGTAGGTGGAGAAATGGGAGGGCAAACGTAGAGGACATGGGAAACGGTATATTTGTGGGTATGGAGGCGGTCTAATGGGAGGACGACGATAACAAAACATACAATGATAATGTGAAATTGAGATTTCAATAAAGTCCTGATTTCCTTTATACCAGAGGTAGTTAAGCATTGACACTAATCCATCATATGAAAAAATTGTAAATCTTATGTCTTCTAAATGTAAATACACTATTACACAACTTGCTAAATATATCTACCACGCTTTTAGATTAAGCGAGTCACTCACAATTCACTGATATATTATTTATGTATGATATTCCTTTCATGTATTTATGCATACACGTTATTGATATAATGTATGTTCTATGGGCCTATGGCCTGAAACTTGGAGGAAATAAACTCTACATATTCAGCATTGCCCTGAACGCAATCGTGCATTAATACCACATTAATGTCACAGTTATATCAGAAACAGGATTCACGATCTTACAGAACAGCAGTATATCGCCTTGTTGGGATTGCAGTGAAAGGAATGCAACCACAGTCAAAAGCATTATTGGCCTGGCACAACTGTGTTAGCCCGCTTACATCCCATGTTGGCCCGCTGAACCAATATAGGAACTCCGGTGCTTCTATATGAAGTGGGCCCCTGAAGTGCGTTTAGAAATGTTTACTTTTTTATCCGTCAGACTAAGAAAAACATATTGGCACCATTAAACTGTCATTATCTAATTACGTTTCTGATATTATATATCAGAAAGTAACAGTATTGCATATGCCCGTGTGTAACATTTTCTTACTATTAAATCTTTGGCAAATACAAGAACCTAACTTTAACTTTTGCAATGCAAAAAGCAAAGCTGTTTCCTAAACATGTATTGCTTGGAATAAGTGTATGATATCAACCTTGCATCATTGCTATACCATATTCATGTATGATCAGATCTCGTATGAGTAACCCATCTTATGTGTCCAGGTCAGAAAAGCTTACCTGTCACCCATATTTGTCTTGAGACCACGTTGGTGACAATGGCTGCTGAGTATTAAAAGTGTTTCATGGAGGGCCAGCTGTGACGTGTGTTACATCAACTTACGTTCAGTGTTGATCTGAGTGACACGCATTATGAGTCAAGATCAGAATAGTTTACCAGTCACCCATGTTTGTTATATTGCCTACATGGATAGAATATTCGCTCCATATGTCTATTGATTTGCCTATTTCCTAAATCACTCGTGAATTAGCTTTCCGCATTTGGTTTGCTCCCCTCAGAGGTGTCCATTCTCAGGTTCACATTCAAACACGTCTCGTCTCAATGGACATATCATATGTCATCTCTTGTCTTCCGATGATATATTTGCCAATTATGGCGTAAACATTTAATGCACTCAATCTCAGATTCAACAACACAAGAATACACATTGTCTGGCATGGTGATAGAAAAAAATGTCAAAGCTATATTTGTGTGAGTTTAATGTATAGCCTCTGCTAACTTCATGTTGAACGTTTCTCGTCATGCTTTGTTTGTGTGGCATTCATGATTGAAATCAAAGAAATTATAGGTGTCCTAAATTCTGAGCTATCATGTTGATAGGTAATGGTCATTAAGATAAAATACACTTAACATGCTGAAAGGCGCCTGGACGCATATCATGAATTTTTCAGCAAATCCTTAATGAGTTGACATAATTTACCCAATCTTGTCTTTGGAATGTTTCACAACAATAAATAGTGCATGATGGAGGGTCATCAGTAATCCTGATAGGTTGTGTGTCTTCGTGGTTTTACTGGTTCAGACTGGATAACCTCACATTCCGCCATAATACAGGTATAATATTCCACTGCATATGCTTATTGATTTGCCCATTCCTCACTCACTCGTGAATTTGCTTTCACATTTGTTTCCCCTCAGGGGTATCCATTCTCACGCTGACACTCAAACTAAAGCATATCTCTTCCTTTGTATGAGTACATAACACAGTCTTGTGTCTTTTTCTTGCCATAATATTCCATGTGTGACGTAAATATTGAACACTCCATCTTGGATACAATACATGTTCACATATTTTGTGAATTTTTGTCATTGCAGATTCTTATAAACTGACATGAAAGATTGTAATTAAAGTTCGATACTTCTCCAAGTTTAAACATTGTCAGGAACGATGATATATGAGTAATATTTGTGTGAGATGAATGTGTGACCTGACTGACCACTTCATGCTAAACTGTTCTCATCATGCACTGTTTGTGTGGCATTCATGATTGAAATCAAAGAAATTATGGGTGTCCAATCTTCTGAGCTATGAAGTTGATAGGAAATGACCATTAAAAACCTTGTTGAGTAATTCAACAGTAAAATACACAACAAAGACATTCTTCCTTCACATCATCTAACCACACAATTCAACTTCAGTTCTTAAATACAACAGAACTACTTCTTACACTGGAAAAAATATATTTTATTAAGAATAACGCATTAATAACTTTGAAATAAATACACGTATATCAGTACATACTAAATAAACGGCCTCCAACCTCCCCTCACAGCCGTCCCTTTCCACTCTTCACATGAACTTACAAAAACGTACAGTGACACATTTCCTTAGCATATCTTACATTACTCGATTAAAGAGTGAACAATTCAACATAATCACAATGATAAATTCTTGAAAATAACTACCACTTGACTACCATCTAAACTGTTATCACAAGCGAGTAGGAGAGTAGTGAGATGTACAGAAATATGGTTGATAGTAGAAGACAGAAAAAGGAAAGATATCCAGTCCGACTGTTGAGAAAGGACAGTAGCAGATAGGACAATGCAGGAGTATCAGGTTGCCAATGAGATGAACAGATTTATAGTAGACAGTATAATAGTTGAGAGAAGGGTAGATGGTAGGACACTACATAAGGTAAAGCAAGGTAGAGTAGGATAGTAAAGTGTAGGGTAGAGTAGGAGAGTACAGAGTAGGGTAGAGTAGGATAGTACAGAGTAGGACAGTGCAGAGTAGTGTAGAGTAGGACAGTACAGAGTAGGGTAGAGTAGGACAGTACAGAGTAGGGTAGTCTAAGGACAATGCAGAGTAGGGTAGGGTAGGACAAGACAGAGTGGGGTAGAGTAGGACAGTACAGAATAGGGTAGAGTATAGAGCATATCTTACATTACTCGAATAAAGAGTGAACAATTCAACATAATCACAATGATAAATTCTCGAAAATAACTACCACTTGACTACCATCTAAACTGTTATCGCAAGCGAGTAGGAGAGTAGTGAGATGTACAGAAATATGGTTGATAGTAGAAGACAGAAAAAGGAAAGATATCCAGTCCGACTGTTGAGAAAGGAACAGGACAGTAGCAGATAGGACAATGAAGGAGTGTCAGGTTGCCAATGAGATGAACATATTTATAGTAGACGGTATAATAGTTGAGAGAAGGGTAGATGGTAGGACACTACATAAGGAAGAGTAAGGTAGAGTAGGATAGTAAAGTGTAGGGTAGAGTAGGACAGTACAGAGTAGGGTAGAGTAGGATAGTACAGAGTAGGACAGTGTAGAGTAGGACAGTACAGAGTAGGGTAGAGTAGGACAGTACAGAGTAGGGTAGTCTAAGGACAATGCAGAGTAGGGTAGGGTAGGACAAGACAGAATGGGGTAGAGTAGGACAGTACAAAATAGGGTAGAGTAGGACAGTACAGAGTAAGGTGGAATAGGACAGTACAGAGTAGGGTAGAGTAGGACAGTACAGAGTAGGGTAGAGTAGGACAGTACAGAGTAGGGTAGAGTAGGACAGTACAGAGTAGGGTAGGCTAAGGACAATGCAAAGTAGGGTAGGGTAGGACAGTTCAGAGTTAGTTAGAGTAGGACAGTACAGAGTAGGGTAGGGTAGGACAGTGCAGAGTAGGATAAAGTAGGATTGAATGAATTACTGAATAGGTGTAACGCCGCTTTTCGGCCTTTATACATTTTCTATCACGAATACTTACATTATAACGAGGGTTTTGGCGTCCCACAGATATTGTAAATACTCAGATGATTGCCTGTTTTTAAGATAAACATGTCCTTTATAAGCGAATGAGATGTTTTACAGTTATTCATGCATTAGCGAGAAAACTATGAATGTTTCTACAGCGTTCGAAAACCCATAACACAGGGATAAACGTTGTATTAATGTCTTATGTTGTTTTGTTTATTTCAACAAAAGGTAAGTATGTACAAGGTAATTTTTTTCAATATGCTTCAACATGGGGAAAGGGTCAGAGACATTGCACGCTTGTGACAGTTGTCCTTGTGTCTGGCATTATTTGCTCCAAGACCCAGTGGGTAGCCAGGTGTGCAGAAGCTATGCCTGATTTTTTTTAAAGTACAGATTAAACTTCGAAATTGTACTGCATCCGCCATCTTTGTTTATTTGACTTTTGCCATTGACTTATTACATTCTTAGGTCCAAGTCATTTACCTGTATGCAACCCTTTGTGGACATGACAGGGTAGGACAATACAGAGTAGGCTAGAGTAGGACAGTACAAAGTAGGGTAAAGTAGGACAGAACACAATAGGGTAGGGTAGGACAGTATATTGTAGGGTAGGGTAGGACAGTACAGAGTTGAACAATAGAGTAGGACAGTACAATACTACAAAGTAGGGTAAAGTAGGACAGCACAGGGTAGGGTAGAGCAGGACAGTACAGGGTATGACAGTACAGTAGGGCTGTACAGGGTAGGAAAGTAAATAGTAGGACACTACAGAATAGTAGAGTACAGGGTAGCTGAGTACATAGGAGGATAGTAGGGTAGGGTAGGAGAGTACAGGGGAGGGTAGAGTAGGACAGTACAGAGTAGGGTAGAGTAGGACAGTACAGGGTAGGACAGTACAGTAGGGCTGTACAGGGTAGGAAAGTAAAGAGTAGGACACTACAGAATAGTAGAGTACAGGGTAGCATAGTACATAGGAGGATAGTAGGGTAGGGTAGGAGAGTACAGGGGAGGGTAGAGTAGGACAGTGCAGAGGACGGTAGGACATCAGAGGGGGTAGGGCAGTACAGATGAGGCTTATTAGGCGAGTACAGAGTTCCGTAAGCAGGATTGGTGAAGGTACAGCGTAGAAGAAAGTTACGAAGGACAGTACAGAAGAGAATATAGTTGGGCAATGCAGGGTATGGTACAGTGTGACAGTACACAGCAGAGTAGAGTAGAAGATGACATAGAACATTTAGATTAGTTAACAACAGAGTAGGGTACTGTAGGACATAAAGGTAAAGTAGGAATATAGATACAAGGGGTAGAGCACCATAGACCTCGAAACGGCCAGACACAGATAATAGCACTAGATTCGGTAGATTGTAGATAAAACAGAAACGGTAGCTGATGGTCAAAACACGAGTTCACTGTGTTGAAGTTGAACTGCACAATGAAAGGATTAGAGAAAGATCACCATGTACGATTATTAACCTATATACTACACACTAATCTATACCTACCTGTCCCCTGCCCCTTACAGTGTTTAGAAGAAGTCCCTGGTGCCAGACGAGAGACTGGAGCTGTACTCAGCCAGGAGAGCTTCCAGGTCCTCCAGAGTGTCCTGGGGCTCCTCCAGTCTTGCCTGCTTTTCAGCTTGGGACACCTCGCTGTTGTCATCTGGGCACTTCCTCTTGCGTGAGGGCAGGGACTCCTTACTGGGCTCAGCAGTGGGTTTCTTCTTTTTCCTTAAAATCAGTTTAGTAAGATACAGATATTCCACATCATATTCATCATCGGAGTTAGGCTCAGCTCTGTCCACTGCCTTGTCAGGGTTTACACTTACTGTTGCAGCAGTGAAACCACCTGACTTAGCACTCTCCGATGTTGAAACAACCTTATCCTTTACATTCTTAACAGGGACAGGGAAGGTCTTGCATCCTGTACTGGGCAAGACAGACTTTGACTTTATGTAAGCACAATCAGCAGACAACAACTGTTCACCAAAACTAAGCTTAGATGAGGTCTTAATGATACCATGACTACCAGAGGGCTTAGTGATACGGTTCACCAGGGGTTTGCTCTGGGGTTTCATGTGCCGAGCTCCAAGAGGTTGAGGCACAAAGTAGGGCTTGCTCTCAGGCTGATGCTTGCCCACTTTCTCCTTGGGAATGTGAGGCTTTGGCTGAGGTTTTGGCCTGAAAGTGCGGGGCTTGCGTTTGCAGGGCTTGAGCTTAGGTTTTCTATTAAGCTGGATAGGGGTCTTGGAATTGGGTTTGGGATTCCTTGTTGAAGATATGCCTGGAGTTTCAACATTAGCAGACTGGGAAAGAGGAACTGGACTCGGTTGGTCAAGTTGGGGCAGAACACAGGAGAAGGCCTGATGGGTGATACAGTCAAAGTGATTCTTTATTGATTAAAAAACAAAATCATACTTTTTGTTTTACATTCTGGTACATGTATTAGCATAAATATAATAATACCTCTGGTCTCATCAGCTGTAGGTCCATCTCTGAACTGGGCAGGCTGACAGGCAGCTGGCAGACAGGCATCATCTCCCTACGTCTACTGCAAGGTGGTGCCTGGACTGCAGGAGGCAGGGGGATACCAGTCACAGATGGATGAACTCCAGGTTGCAGGAGTCTTGGCTGTAGGTAACCAGGACCCAGGGAGAGGTTAACAGGATTACCAGCTGGTATCCAGATAGTGTTGTTGTCTACCAGACATCTTGTTCCATCGCCCATCACCACTGTTGGCAGCCCGGGCGGCAAGCGGGTCACAGGAACTACCACCAAGCAATTCATCATTATGATAGTACTGAACAGCAGCATACATTTATGACACGCAAACATGTGTCGCTCAAAGTAGTATTCAATAAAGGATGAAGTTACGATCAAGGCTATTCTTTTTGATAAAGGACAAAATTCATTAATTCTATGTGTCTTGAAAACGTGTCTGCATGGATCCGACAATTTCCCTTTCCCTCAGTCGATTATGGTGTGTATCATGTTAAGTTTTCACACCGGGTACATTTAGTACAACTGTTCAGGTTAGAAACAACAACCTACTGTTATTGTGCAACTCCATAATATTAAGACCCACATAGGCACATACAGACAATGAAAATTGAAATTGGAGTATAGAAAGATCGAAAGATCAGCGTCTATTTTATGCATTGTAAACATATTAAAACAACTTCATCCAGGCTTATCACTGGTAAAAAGGACAATTTCACATACCTTTCCTAGTAGGATTCATAGTTTTCTCCACCTCTTCAAGTCGTACACACTTTTAAAGCCCGTATTTTGCACGATAAAACTGCGAAAACTTCCAGTGATATCTCTCAAAATGGCTGACACACAGGAAGGCCTAACAGTTGCCATGACGCCGCTACTAAAGGCAAGTCCACGCATGCGTCGACTTTATGAATCACTTCTGTCGCTTCCGTCTGCCTTTACATTATGAAATATACACATCAACATTGGGTACGTCGCCTGTTTAGATTGGATCTTAAAAGTTATGAAATGCGAAGATCATTCTAAGGGAAACTACTCTGGTAGAGTTTAATAGGTAAATAGAGTTACCCTTCTTGAAAGAGGATTTTATTAGCGCTTTAATGAATCAAATTACTTGGGGAAAATGTTCCGTATATAATGATAAGGTGCCGTCGTATTCTATGTTAAATAAACTCCATTGTCATTTTTCCTGGTGTTAATGTAATTGTTTGTTTCAGGTTTAGTATGGGTTCTTGCTTACAAGAATTGGTGCTCTACAGAAATATAAAAGGAGTAATATTAATAACGATTTTGAAAGATGGGTATAGGTTACACTTTAACTTTTTATTTCCTAAAATTACCGTTGGCAAGGGCAGGTGGCAGTAGGCAACATAGGGGTATGACAGAGAATGGAAGCTATATGTGGAGGTCGGAGGCAACGGCACAGGATATATTATTAGTTTTGTGTCCTTAGTAGCCATATACCACTACTATATGTCGTGTCGTATTAGATTAGCAGAAAAATATTTCTAACTGCTAACCTAATGTGACACCATATACGGCAACTAAAGACACCATAACAAATTTATTATGCCGAAAAGTTAACTATCTGCTATCGATATTGCACATGTCAAAATAAAAACTTACGGGTATGTGGGACATGGAGGTATGAAAGGGGAAGGGGAATGTAGTGGAGGACTGACATACCAGTATGTGGGACATGGAGGTATGAGAGGGGAAGGGGCTGTAGTGGGAGGACTGACATACCAGTATGTGGGACATGGAGGTATGAGAGGGGAAGGGGACTGTAGTGGAAGGACAGACTTACGGGTATGTGGGATATCAAGGTATGAGAGGGGAAGGGGACTGTAGTGGAAGGATGGACATACAGGTATGTGGGACATGGAGGTATGAGAGGGGAAGGGGACTGTAGTGGGAGGACGGACATACGGGTATGGGGGACATAGAGGTATGAGAGTGGAAGAGGACTGTAGTGGAGGACGGACATACGGAAGCTTGAGAGGGGAAGGGGACTGCAGTGGAAGGACTGACATACGGGTACGGGGGACATGGAGGTATGAGAGGGGAAGGAGACTGTAGTGGGAGGACTGACATACGGGTGTGTGGGACATCAAGGTATGAGAGGCGAAGGGGCTGTAGTGGAAGGACGGACATACAGGTTGGGGGGACATGGAGGTATGAGAGGGGAAGGGGACAGTAGTCGGAGGACTGACATACGGGTATGGGGGACATGAAGGTATGTGAGAAGAAGGGGGCTGTAGTGGGAGGACTGACATACGGGTAAAGTTCGGACATGGAAGTATGAGAGGGGAAGGGGACTGTAGTGGAAGGACGGACTTACGGGTATGTGGGACATGGAGGTATGAGAGGGGAAGGGGACTGTAGTTGGAGGACGGACATACGGGTATGTGGGACATCAAGGTATGAGAGGGGAAGGGGCTGTAGTGGGAGGACTGACATACGGTATGTCGGACATGGAGGTATGAGAGGGGAAGGGGACTGTAGTGGAAGGATGGACATACAGGTTGGGGGGACATGGAGGTATGAGAGGGGAAGGGGACAGTAGTGGAAGGACGGACTTACGGGTATGTGGGACATGGAGGTATAAGAGGGGAAGGGGCGGTAGTGGAAGGACTGACATACGGGTATAGGGTACATGGAGGTATGAGAGGGGAAAGGGGCTGTAGTGGGAGGACGGACATATGGGTATGGAGGACATGGATGTATGAGAGGGAGAAGGGGCTGTAGTGGGAGGACTGACATACGGGTATGGGGTACATGGAAGTATGAGAGGGGAAAGGGGCTGTAGTGGGAGGACGGACATATGGGTATGGAGGACATGGAGGTATGAGAGGGAGAAGGGACTGCAGTGGGAGGACGGACCTACGGGTATGGGGGACATGGAGGTATGAGAGGTTAAAGGGGCTGTTGTGGGAGGACGGACATACGGGTAAGGGGGACATGGAAGTATGAGGGAGGCGGATTGGCGTGAGCAAGGGAGAGTGGAGAGGTTATTAGGGAGGATGGAGAGGGAAGTAGGGACGGTGGAGAGGAAGATGAGGAGGATGGAGCTGGAAGTACCGAATTAGAAGTGGAAAGTAGGGATAAAGAGGGAGATGAGGACGCAGAGGGGAGTGGGGAGGATGAACCTTTGGGGGTACTTCGAATAGTCATCAATATAAACCTGCAGTTTAAACCTCTAACGTCTCCTCTGTAAGAGGCCAAGTATGTTCCAAGGAAACGTGACGGCTTCGGTTTTGTGATGGATTACCTCCCGAAAGGTTCGATCCTTAATGGCTAACATTACGCTTATCTGCTCAGGGAATTAATAATGTCAAGGCTAAATAGCATTGGCAACTTTCAAAACGTGTGCTGTTCCACCAGGACAATGTACGTGTGCATAAGCCTGTATAGTGGTTTTGTGTTGGAATACCTCCCGAAAGTTTCGAACCTTAATGGATAACATTACGCTTAGCTGCTCAGGGAATTAATAATGTCAAGGCTAAATAGCATTGGCAACTTTCAAAACGTGTGCTGTTCCACCAGGACAATGTACGTGTGCATAAGCCTGTGTAGTGGGAGGACGACGATGACAAATACAAGGAAAAGGCAAAGTCAGTCATATGGCCCTGGGTTGGCTATATTGGACCGAGGCAATGCTTCTTGACCAATATGACCGCCTAGGACCTGTTACAAGGCCAATTTGAAAACACACATTTTATGTTATTTATAATTGACTACCTAAACTAAACTACCGGGCAAAAGAAAATTTTTCACCGACTTCACTTGACCAAACACCAATAACAAAGGCATATGTGAGATTTATGATGATTAATTTATAAACAGAAATCATTTTCCATGAATTAGAATGTAAATGCATTGTAATGCCGATATTGCATTCTCCGCAATACACAAAGAAAGAGTCAAGGGGTCCAAATTAAAAATTACACAAATCAGAGTCCATTGAAAAAGTGCATGAAGAGTCCATTAATGACACAGTAGTCAGGTAACACGGCATCAATAGCGTGTGTGACCACCCTGGGCATCCATGCACACTAACACACGCCTCCTCATTGACGTCGTCAGTCGGCGGATAACGTCAACAGGAATCCTGTTCCATAAGTTCAATAGAGTCTGCTCAAGTTCCTGTCGGTTCGCTGGAGGCGGTACATGTCTCAGCTGACGATCAAGATGATCCCAGAGATGTTGAATGAGGTTCATGTCTGGAGAACAAGGTGGCCAGGGCAATACGTTGACGTTAACGTTGTTCAGGTAGTCTTGAACAATTCGGGCGGTGTGAGGCCTTGCGTTGTCATGTTGCAAAATTAATCCTCTTGGCTAATGTTGAATAAAGGGCACCACAACAGGTCTCAACACTTCATCCCTGTATCGCTGAGCATTCAGGTTTCCTTGGATGATAACCAGCCGTGTTGTAATCTGGCCACAAATGCCACCCCATACCATGACGCCTCCACCTCCAAACGGGTGAACTTCTCTAATGCAGTTTGGCACCAGTCGCTCTCCCCTTCGTCGAAAAACTCGAACTCTGCCATCGTTCCTGAACAGACAGAACAGACTTTCATCTGTAAAGAGCACTCTCGCCCAGTGACGTCGCTGCCACCGACGTACAGTTGGTGCCCATTGCAGTCTGCGTTAATGGTGTAGACGGGTCAAGGCCATTCCACGAAAGGGTCGGTAGGCTCGTATACCAGCCGTACGAAGTCGTCAAAGGACTGTTCGTCTGCTGATGGCATGCCCAAGTGCTGTTGCCGCCGTTGACGTCGCTGTCACACATCTGTTTCGGAGGTGAATCTGCTGGATGTAGCGGTCTGCTTGGCTGGTCTTGAGTCTGTCCTGTCTGTTGGTAGCGGATTATCAACTTGCTGGTGGTGGTCTGGGAGCAGTTGAAGGTTCTGGCTATATGACGTTGAGTAGCCCCCATATTGGCCATACCGATCGCTCTGTCTCGTTGCGCTTGTGTAAGTCTGGGCATATTCTTGGTGGTTTTTTGCTTACTGAATGCCTGCTCTGTCCAACGTCGGTATTTATGCCACAATCACGCACGTGCATTTGGACCAATGTCTCAAAATCACGTTTTGCACATTTTCAACAATGCATGATTTGGAAAGCTGCGTTCGAAAATCTGCGTTGTTGTTGTGGTCATGTTGCATTTGGGCGAATGTTTTCTGCGGGGGTTCAAACCTGTAACAGCTTTTTTGCTTTTTATGCAACTATTTTTAAAGTGAAAACTTTCTTTTGCCCGGTAGTTTATATGTGTCAAAATAGTATCAGTAAAAGAGATCAAGAAAAAAAAATATCAAAAAATGTCAGTTATAACAAAAACAGGATCCACGATCTTACATGACAGCAGTCTATCGCCTTGTTGGGATTGCAATGTTAGGAATGCAATCACACGCAAAATCCATATTGGCCTGACACAACTGTCAACTACATCCAGTGTTGGCCTGCTAAACCCATATTGACACTCCGGTGCTTCTATATGAAGCAGGCCTATTTGAGCGTATTACAGACAGTTGAATAATAAAAGAAGATATGGCCATTGCGTTTAGAAATTTTCACTTTTTATCCGTCCGTAAGAAAAATATATTTGTACTATCAATTTGTCATTATCTAATACGTTTCTGATATTATATATCATAAAGTAACAGCGTTTCATAGGTTTCAGATGCTCGTGTGGAACATTTTCTAAATATGAAGTCTTTGGCAAATACAAGAACCGAACTTAAACTTTTGCAATGCAAAAAGCAAAGCTGTTTCCTAACCGTGTACTGATTGGAATAAGTGTATATCAACCATTGCATCAATGCATGCTATACCATATTCATGTA